CTTACCGAGTACTCCGAGCCAAAGAAAGAAGTTAATTAGAAAACATGCATGAATCCTAGCTATGCTGAGATGCCTAATGCAACACGTGCAAGAATGCAACTAAGATAGGCTTGGCTATTCTAAGATGGCATATGAGATGCTACAGGTAACATGTATTCAACTTGGAATTGAAATACGATGCAGTTAGTATGATGTGCCGAGCCCAGTACATGCAAAACAGATGAATGGATGCAAACATACGAGCATAAGGATGCTAATTGAAACGTGCCCTAAAACTAACCATCATAAGTTGGTAAATAAAAGGGAGAAAGACGTGGGGTTGGAAGACATACATCACACACACGCACACTTATTACAGCATTGCCCTCTCTCGGAGGGTCCGAATAAATAATACAGAATCGAATTAACTAATTATTACACAACACTAGCTAATTAACAAATTAACTAAACTAGCATGCAAACTATGTAAAAATGGGCTACCTCAGCTCTACTTTGAATGATAAAGGATGCATGCATGCTCGAGTCGCCTTGTCGGGAAATCCATCGCGATGCCCCGACTCGCCTTTGTTTGCAATTGATTTCAGAAACTTGCACAAAGCTCCAAGGAGATGAAACTCTACCCTACGAATTTAGGGGGAGGTTGCCGACCAGCTATAGGCATTAGAGACCACCTACCGACCACCCTTGGTGGTGAAAACCAGAAAAGGTGGTCGGCCTGCCAGAAAACCTGGTCGGCCGACCAGTTTCTTCTCTTGGTTTCTGCATTTTCTGTAACAAAGGCAAGAGAGAAAGAAAGCAAGGTATTTGCAACACATGTGTGCACGACCACTCTCCCCATCATTGCATAAGCTCTAGGGAGTGTAGTCCTTGATCCTCGGGCCACCAATCACGCATCTCGATGCATGATGGCCAAGGAGTCGGATTTCACGACTCAATGTGAAATGAATGCACATATAAACACATAAATGCCTAAACTCCATCATGTGTTAGTCAAGAGTGTCGGCGACCGAGAATCGAGGCACGTTTCGTCACTTTGAGTACAAAACGTTCCTCGTTTCCCGTGTTTGGACTAACTCCTATTCCAAACACAATGCAACAAACAATGCATGCACAAATACAACTCTAGCATGCAATCCTAAATGCAATGCAACTTAGTCATGCAAACATGCAAAGGATGACATGCAAACATGCAACTAGAATACACGATACTATGAGTTAAAAATGGCATACTCAATGCACATGATACTATATGTCATACATAATGCACATGTGAAGACTATCATACACAATGAAGTGAACAAGGCATGCACAATGCAATGATCAAACATGCGACAACGCGGCATACTCAATGCTATGAACTACAATGGCATACTCGATGCAAAATGGACTTAAACCAAAATGAATGGGCCTCAGCCACACCCAAATTAGTGGCCATACATGATGAAAATGAGGCAACAAAACACATGCAAACATGCAAGATGCAAGGGCCCAAAGCCTAGGGCACAAGATACAACTGTATGAAAGCATGGAAAGGATGAAATATGAAATACAACAACACATGTTCCAGCTCTGAAATGACAAACAAAATGGTCCCGAATCTTGCAAACAACTCATGTTATGCATTTTAAATGGCTCAAATACCGAAACTAGTGAAGTGCATTACACTAGAGGTATGCAAAGCAATGCCCAAATGAACAAACCGACCCCAAACAGTCCCTACGTAGGCCCAAAACAGTGGCAAAATGGACTAAGATGATGGTTTGAAATGCACAAAAATGAAGCTCATGCAATGGTCCATAAATGAGGTATACAAGCACAACTCTCAAACGCATTTAAAGAGTGGAAAACATGGGAACATGGCACAAGTATAGGCTCTGAAATAACATGCTCAATGATGCCAAGACATTGAAACACCTCAAGTTAAGCATGCAAGGGGCTCCAAAACTCAAGGCTAGGCAAGGACATTACACTACAAGTATGCATGGAAAGCATCATTCGACCAAGAGGCCTCAAAACAGAGCTAAGGCAGCCCAAAATGTGAACAAAATCAGTTTGAAGTATGGCCAAAATATGCTAGAATCACTGGCCAAAACAACATGCAATGTAAGCTAGTGAGCATGGTTTACACTACAAGCATGTGAAGCATTCAAGAGGCCACTAAACCAGCCAAAGACAGAGCTATGATATGCCAAATAATGACCAAAAACCCACTGAAACATGACTAATACATGCAAGAATGACATGCTCCTTTGATAAACTATGAAGAGGATTATTCTACACATGCAAGAGACAAACATGAGGTGACCAAACCAACCCTAGACAGAGTCTAGGAAGGTCCTAAAAGTCACTAAAAATGGCCTGAACCAAGGCTAGGAAGTATGAAAATATAGGCTCCTTGGAAAGGCCAAAAATGCAAACAAACAAGGCCAAAAGAGAGAGGGTCACCCCTCTCTGATTTTGGCCCTCAAAACAGCATGCCAACCACTAAAAATCCATTGGATTTCAGTGGCTAAAAGGCCAAGCAAAGGTCAACACAAAGGCCTTAAGGCATGGCTCAAAACAAGACTAAATGAAGCATGCAAGAGGGTAGATGACCTCCAACAGGAAAATGACCTTAAACAAACATGAATAATGCTTAAAAATAAATCTTTTTTCAGTTGACAACAAACCTCAAATAAGAATGCAAATGAGGCTAAGAGAAGGATCAAAATAATGCTTAAAAAGGGAGAAAATGAGTTACCCTTGAAGCTCAACAAAGACAGCAACTTTTGGACCAAAAACCCAGCTCCTTAACCTCTGAAAATGACCTCCAAGAACCTTAGGTTGATGGTGGAGGTGTATGGCTATGAGGTGTGGTGCAATAGGCCAAGAACAATGCACTTTGAGCTAAAATATAGAGAGATATAGAGGGAGCTATGTATTTTTTTGCCTTAAGCAATTTCAGAACCCTGGTGCAAGGAGAGGAAAGGTCTCTCTTGTAGAAAAACAAAGCCAAAGCTTCCTCAAGAAGCTAAAAAACTTGGTTCAAAATCCTCCATACACGTGTATGGAGGATACAGTCTGTGTCTTCAAGCTGGCACAGCTGGCATCCACTCAATCTGTAAAATATGCAGGAAGGCCGCCGACCAGTTAAAGTGGTTGGCCTACCACTTTTACTGGTCGGCCGACCACCTTTGATGAGAAAGTGGTCGGCCAGCCACTTTTTCTGGTCGGCCAGCTACTTTTTCTGGTCGGCTGGAAAAAAAAGTGGTCTCCAAGGGTAATTGGTGGTCTCCACACTGAAAGAAAGCCAATGGTGTGGTGGGAGACCAGCAAATGTGGCCCATTTTTGGGCGACAAAAATGTTTTGTCGCAAAATGTTATTATAAGGCGACAAAATCCAATTTTAGTAGTGTAAAATGGTAACAAACAGCAACTAAAACTAAGTTTGGTAGCCAATAAGACTATATGGCGACTAAAATAGTTTAGTAGCTAAAAAGATTCAATCAATGCCGACTAAATCAGTTTTTTAGTCGCCCAATCTGCTGTTTTTGGCGACTAAAATTGTTTTGGTCGCCAATTTTAGTCGCCAAATGTGCATTTTGTTGTAGTGCATCTATCATGCTTTCTTTACGAGTTAACCTCATGAATGTTTGAATGCTTATGCAAATACTACATGATGTGATTCTTTATTAATGAGCTTGGAATTTGTTAATTCACCACCTTACCATGATATTATTCATTGGGCTTGACTCATTCTTTTATATATATGTAGGTAATCAGGAAAAGTAACATTGATAGAGGTATTGGACCCATTTCAAGGAGTCTTTTCTTTTATTTTTTTCTTCTGTTACTTTTTCCTTTTTAAGAGACGAGTTTTGGCGAGTTTTGTATAAATCACCAGGTTTATACTTATGAATGTAAACATTGTACTTTTCATTTGTCCATGTACTTGATGTAAATTATTCATAAGATAAGCAATAAAGGTTGTACTACTTATGCACTATTCTATGGACTTATTAGATTAATGATGAAAATTCCACTTTTAAGCTCTATATATTAGTCTTTTTGTGATTTTGTCAAGTTAGGCATTTGGTAATCAGGGATTACTAGCCGATCACCTCACTATCCTATAGAGGCGAGATGGGGTCGTGACAAGACCGATCTCTCTTTTAGGTCCTGATATATAGATTATAGAGGAAATTATGAATCAGTTGGAAGACAAAAAAAAAAATTACAAAGTGTTGGAAAAGTTTATAATTTCAATTATTAAAGTTAGTAAACTTTATCATTGATTTGAAATTTATTTTGGAAATATGGGTTGAATTGTAATTTTTCATAGATTATCCACCTAAAATGAAAATAAAAGTAAATTTAGACTAATTTGATCATTTTAGTCATATTATTTTATAATATTTATTATTAAAAAAAATAGGTGACAAATATAATTATAAAAAATATTCTTATTTTTTAACAAATATGATTAAATCAAAAAATAGATGACAAATATAATTATTAAAAAAATATTCATTATTTTTTAAAAAAAAATTATGATTAAATCAAATGGGTAGAATTACTAGATCAATCTCATATTTTACATAGATAATTTACATATGAGAAATTAAAATTAATGATTTAGATTATAAAAAGAAAATGGGTTGGGGGCATAACAGCCACTATAGTGCAGCCATATAAGCCTATTTCGGGGCCTGCTTTGATGGCCTAACCGTTCACATTTTAGAATATATCATATAAAACAAATATTTACCCACCCACCCCTCCCCCTAAAATATATAATATATATATATATACAACATATTAATAAAAAATTAAGTTGATTGGACATCATTAACCATTTCATCAAATTGTATTTGCATTTTTAAAAATGAATGACAATTGTAATTTGAAATATAAATTGAATAAAAATATAAGTAGATGAAGGGTTAACGATATCCAATTAATTTTATTTTTTATATATTTTTTTACATGTATATTATATTCGATCTCCTTATAAAAATAAGATGTCTGATGAGTATAAGGTCTCTACTAAACTAGTCCAGTCCACTTATAGAGCATCAAAGAAACTTATGTTGAGTTTATTTATTTATTTATAAGCTTATAGGATGTTAGTAAAGTTGGATTATAATTAAAGGAGTCGTTGCTACTCCATCAACTTGAACACCTAGACTTTGTTCTCATTACACCTTGAGGTGTGGCAAGGTGTAGCTATGAGACCACTTTTAAGGTGTGGTTACAACAAGGCCACTGAGTCAAACCTAATGTCTAAAATACTAAATGTCTGAAAAACACATTTATACATCATAATTATCAGGGGAAATATCAAATCAATGTAATTATGAAAAAATAATTACAAATTAGTATAAAAAAAATAAAAAAAAAACTACAAATATTAATAATTAAAATTTTAAACCTTTTATAAGTATAAAATTTATTTTTCATAATGTCACTAGAGTGCAATTACCTCTAATTATTTTAAGTACAACTTACATTCTACCAATTTTCAATTTATATCATACATCTCATTTTGGGACAAAATTCAATTTACTTTTACATTCTATTTTTTATTTTTTAGAGGGTGAAATATATATATGGGAAAATTAGTCTAGGGTCCCTCCCCCACTTTTAGTAATGGAAGAGATCCGCAAAATTATTTTTTGATGTCTAAAGTCCCTAAACATATATCAGAGAAATTTGACTTTTGCCCATGATTCCTCTTTCTCTCCCCTACAACCAAATGAACAAAAGCTTCAAGATCTTCGTCTACCCTACCCCCAAATCCCAACTCTGAATCATCAGCCCTAGACAAGCTGGGAACGAGGAAGGCAACCTCGATAGGTTTTTCGAGGATGTCGAGAATGTCAAGGAAGACATAAGAGACGTCGAAAAACTCTACAAGAAGTTACAGGAATCCAATGAAGAGAGCAAAACTGTCCACAATGCCAAAACCATGAATGAGCTTCGAGCCAGAATGGACTCGAATGTTGGCCAGGTCTTAAAACGGGTCAAGGTCATCAAGAAGAAGCTTGAAGGTCTAGAACAATCTAATGCAGCTCACCACAAACTTCCCGGTTGCGGTCCGGGGTCATCTGCGGATCGAACTCGGATTTCCGTAGCTAGTGGTTTGGGAAAGAAACTCAAGGACATGATGGATGATTTTCAAGGGTTGAGAGGCAAAATGGCAAATGAATACAAGGAAACAGTGGAGCGAAAGTACTTCACTGTCACGGGACAGAAGGCGGATGAAGACACCATTGAGAATCTGATAGCAGAAGGGAAATTCTGATATATGGTGTAGCGTAATATTACAATATTTTTCTACAGAATTAGTAGTCTTACGTATATATATGGTGTGTGTTTGGACTAGAGAAATTCTGATTTGAACTAAATTTTCTCTGGGTTGGTCCAAAGAAATTCTTTGGTTTTGACTGATTTTTTTTTTATTTGAACTGAATTTTCTCTGGGTTAAAGAGAATTTCTCTGGAAATGTTTCTTTAGGAATTTCATTGATTTCGAGAGAATTTCTCTACCTTAAAGTGATCCAGAGAAATTCTTAAAAATATTTTTCTTCTATCTTCCATGCTGAAGTGAGTAGATTTCTTCATAATTCTGTGTATTTTGTAGAATCAATTGTTAATGTCTCCCCAGTTAAACATATTCTTTTGCTTTCGAATGTCTACTACTTGCTGTTTCAGTTATTTGCAGTGTATGTTACTAAAAATTGTTTGATAATAATGAAAATGATTGCATTCTTTTTCAAGTTTGATATGTAAAACCATTTAACCTCCAAGATCATTGAATTAAAACCACTGTATTGCTTAAAAGATGCCTCTTTTTCCATCAGACACTAATAATTTGAAACCTGTTCTAGCTTCAGTCTAGACCACTCAATTCAATTTGATGAAGATTTGAATTTAAATTGATTTTTGTACTTATGTTATTTGTGCTGCTAAGTTGTGCATAGTTGAACTAGTGTTACTTGTTAAATTTAGAATGATATACTCTACTTATCACACACAGACACATAACAGAATTAGTACTCTTACGTATATATATGGTATGTGTTTGGACTAGAGAAATTCTGATTTGAACTAAATTTCTATCCAGAGAAATTCTCTGGGATTTTGATCATTGTGTAAATTTTCTCTGAAAAATTCTCTGGGAGGTCTAGAGAAATAGAGAAACCTCCCAGAGAAATTCTAGTTCTGTAGAGAGAAATTTTTTTAGAGGTCCAGATAAATTTCTCTGGATTGGAGAGAAATATAGAATTTCTTTGGGTTAGAGAGAATTTCACTGGACAGAATTTCTCTGGAGTAGAATTTCTCTAGATCAAATTGAGGGACCTTAAACATTATGAAAATATTAGATGTCCTTTATACTATAAAGTCTTAGAACCAGGGACCCTAAAAAAAAAACCCTATATATATATATCAATAATGATGAAGAACTCTAATTTTGGAACTCTAAAGAGAGCTCTAGTGATGTAAAAAAAAAAAAAAAAAATTCACATCACATCACATCACATGTGGGCCCCACTCTTTACCACATCACTAAAACTCTCTTTAAAGTTCCAAAATTAGATTTCTCAATCTTTATTCGTGTGTATATATATATATATATATTTTAATAATCAAGTATCCGCGGCAATTTAAGGACACTGCAACTTCAATCAAATACCTCTCATCCCAACTGGGCCTTCTAATTTTTCGGTCAAATACCTTCTCATTCCAACTGGGCACACTTGGAGGTAACCATCTCAAGTTCCCCCAATACTCTCTCTCTCTCTCTCTCTCTCTCTCTCTCTCCAATGTCCAACAACAACAACATGAGGAAGGTCCGTCTGAACACAGTGACAGTGAACCTAGGTTGCAGCAGCTGCCGAAGTCCAAGACTCTCCAACATTTTCCACCCAAAGCCAAAGTCCAAAACACCCACTACTTACCACCACAGAAAACACACCCTCTTCTATCACACCTCTTCAGCCTCCTCATCGGACAATGCTAATCCTCCCCACTGTGCTGACGAACAATACACCACAACCACCACCACCACTACGGACACAACACCGCTGTGTCAGTCAGACTCGGACACAGAGTCCGACATAAGGAGCCTTCGGGCGGTTCAGGGGTTCGGGAGATATACTCAAGGGACGATGGTTGAGATGATAGTGGCGAAGGAGATATACTCAAGGGACGACCTCCGCGAGCTTCTCAATTGTTTTTTGCAGCTGAATTCACCTTACTACCATGGGATCATCGTTCGAGCTTTCACTGAGATCTGGGATGCTGTTTTCTCACTCAGAGTCAAGTGTTCTTCTACAAAACTTCATCTTCCCCACAACTCACACCCTTCTAACCATTGCATTTTTCTGTAGTCTACTTGGTTATTATTGTAATTATTTTTAAGACTTGGTTTGATTTCATCAGGTTTGATTTACTTTGTGTAATAGTTATATATTTACACATAACTTTTAACAGAAATGTTTTGGATCCCTTTTTTAGGATTTTATGACCCACAATTTAGTCTTGGTCCTTGATATGTATGCGTGAAATCTACTCATATATATATATATATATATGTGAATCCTACATTATGAGTAGTTGAGGCCAGAGTGAAAATTATAAGGATATTGTATAGAGATTTATATCACAATTGAACTTTTAAACATGACAAAATTTTATCATTCACTATTGTATGGTAGCTTAGGAGTAAATTTAGAGGAAGAAAAATAGTATATATGAACAGAAGTTTCAAAAAAATTCCATATAAAATGGGGGTGACAATTCAGTCAACGGGAAAACCATCATTTTGTATGAAATTGTATTTAAAAGTTTAATTATGAAAGAACTAATTTCTAGGAGAATTATTACACTCGGTGGGGGCTTTGGTCTAAATCTTTACGGGCCTTTAAGATGGAGATGCAGTAGTAGTTTCGCTTGGTGGCAAAAGATAGACGTTGGGATTTGAAAATAAGCGTTATTAAAGATGGAGTGACAGTTGTTTTAATGCACTTTTAATGAGAATATTATGGCGGACTGACTTTGTACATTTCCCAACATTGTCATTAAGCTTTTGTTTTGTTTCGTTATTTTTTTTTTTTTTTTTTTGTTTTTTTTTTTTTTTTTTTTTTTGGTTTTTTGGACAGATTTGTCATTAAGCTTCTTACTTTCATTATCTTGTTTCCACTGTGCAACCTGCAAAAGCTTGGTTTTAATTATAGGTCAAAATTCATTTTACACCCTCTTACTTTTGTTTGGGGGCGTTTTATTCTTTTGTAGGTCAAATATCGGGAGAAAATTCTTATATAATTTAGCCTCCGTTTGGGTAGTGGATTAATTTTTTAGTTTTTTGACTTTTTTGACTATTTTAACTTGGGTTTAAAAGCTTGGTTTGGGAAGGATTTTTTGATTTTTTGACTTTTTTGAGTTTTTTTGTGAGAGAATAATGTAATGATTATGGGTTAGATGTGATGTTTTGTTTGTTACGGCTAAAATAACCTATTTTGTTTTTTGTGGCTAAAATAACCAAAAAAACCTACAAACCCACTTACCAAACACAGGCTTAGACTAAAATATTACGGTTGGTTTTTTTGGTAAAAGATAATAAGAGATATGCCATACTCTTTCAAATTGAAAATGGACAATTCAAAAGTGTTAAGTTTAACTAAAAAATTGAATCAAATATTAATTATACCCTCATATTCATCTTATTCTCCAAATTAAATCTTTACCAAACCTTAATCCTAATTGTTATCTTTTAATTTTAAAATTTTATTAATTAAGAAATTGGATTAAAAATTAAAAATTAGATTATGGTAATTTTATAATTTAATTTTATGGTACTAAATTAAGGTATTTAGGTAATTTATGATTTAATTATTAAATATATATTTACATGTTTAATTTAAAATATTATTAAATAAAATAATTTTAATAAATTAGAGTTTTTATTTTAATTTATGATTTAATCTGTTAAATGTATATTTCTATGTTTAATTACAAATAATGTTAAGGTAATTTTATGAGTTAATTTTATGGTAATAAGCCTTCATTTGAGATATGAGTTGATTTTTTGGCTATTTTAGCCTTAGTTTGGGGCTAAAAAGCCTCGTTTGAGATTTGACTTTTGTGAGAGAAAAAAAATAAAATAATTATGGTTTGAATGTGACATTTTGTCTTATTAGACTAAAAAACCTATTTTACCTTTTTGTGGCTAAAATAGTCCCAACCCAACCCAAATCTTCTTACCAAACGAACCCTAAATTAAGGTGTTTTGCTTAATCTTGGGTAAATTAGCAATAAACTTCATGAGATTTGCATAAAATACTATTGGCCCCCTGTGATTCTAAAAATTACATAGTGCCCTTTCAAATTTATAATTTCATAACAAATGATCACTTTTATTAATAAATCAGCAAAATAATTAATAGTTTTTAATGATGTCAAAATTTTATTTCAATTAATAATTCAAATAATTTTATCATTGTATAGGAAAACAGTTATCAATTTTAATTTTTCAGTTAATTCTGTTAATTAAAAAATTTTGACAACTAAACCATAGAGAGCAATTTGTATTTTACACAAATCTCAAGAGGTATATTTATAATTTACCCTTATATTTTTCAATTGAGTAATGCTATAATATTCATTGTCTTTCAATTTTATTTTATATTATTATATCACGTGTTAATTGTTTAATTGTCAACACTAAATTAAAAATATATATGGGAGGGTGTTCTTTCTGGTCTATATGGAATTGGTAGTGTTATTGGGATTCTGTGGGCTCACTACATACTTCACATTGATAATTTGAATTTTTTAATGCGCAAAACTCATCAAGTACTTTATTTTTGTAAAAAATCACGTTATCGGATATCGATAGTTACTTGATCATATTATATTTTTGTCAACGCTAAGTATGACTTTAAAAATAAATTATTGACACAAATATGATCTGATCAAGTGATTATTGATATTCGATAAACGTAATTTTTATTTTGTTTTTATTTTTGCAAATATGAATTATTCGACGAATTCTATACATTAAATTGTTTAGATTATCGATATGAGAGTCGTGGTAAGCTCACAAAGGCCCAACAACATCCTTCAATCAAAAAAACTAATTGGAAAGAAGCCTCTTCCAATATATATTAATGTTATGACCCATTTATTGTTGGGAAAATTATTATGGGTTGAGTTTCTCTCATGTTGGCTATTAGGAATCACTTATTAGAATATTCATGCAAATAATTAAGATAATCGGATATCAGTAGCTATATAATTAAAT